TCTGCTGACACTGGATCTAAATAATTGGATTTGTCTTAGACAAAAAAATTGCACCCAAGTCAGCCAATGATATCAAACTTATAAGTGCTGGGAAAATCTTGGAGAACAACAAGACAGTTGGTCAGTGCACTGTACCATCTGGTGAGCTACCAAATGGGGTAATCACCATGCATGTTGTGGTGCAGCCAACTTTAGTGAAAGCAAAAACAGGTAATTTTATGCTAATTGTTCTAGAATGCTAACTTTGAAGTTGGTGATTGATTAATAATGTTCTAGAGCTGCTGATTAAAACCGAAAAAAAAAAAGAAAAAAAAAGGAGGGGTTAAAGGGTTCTGTTATGCTAAATCTGAAGCTGGTTTTATGTTATCTTGCCAGAAAAAAAGGTGGATGAACTCCCTAGGAAAAATTCCTGTTCATGTTCGATATTATAGGAGTTTTGATACTTGATTCAGGGTCATATTTATACAAAATTAAAATTTATTATAATTTTTTTAATAAAAATAATAATTATTTTTAATAAATAAATATAAATAAATTTTAATTATTAAAAATTAAAAAAAAATTAAAATTTAATATAAATATAATATATAAAATTTATATATAATTAAATCTTTGCTTTATATACTGTGGAAAATTTTGAAGGCAAGGGAGAGTGGACAAGCGAAAAGACACAGACAAAAGGCAATGTAGTAGTCAGTGGCGCCGCCTAGGCCTTGGATTTGTCAAAGGAATAGTGTGCGTGGTCCCTGCCCATTTTCCATCCTAGGCGGCATTTCCTTTCTAGGCACGTCCTCTTGCACGTTTTTACGATCTTGTTGCCTTTTCCCATGGCCACAAACAATTAATATCATTTCTCAGTTTTAGGAGCAGAGGCGGAAGACACACTCTGTAATGATGTACGTCCAACCAGAATGATATAAAAGTTCAGTGTTTTCCCTCGAATAAGATAAAAACCTCCATGGAAACCTGATCCTTCGGGTCAAGTGACTCTAACCACGTTTGTAAAGTTTATATTCTCATTTCTCAAGGTAATGGTTCGAATCGGTCTCATGACAAAATATTTAAAAAATAATAATAATAAAAAATAAAAACCTCCACGTAAATCTCTCACTTCAACTATTATAAATTCAATTGTAAAGTACATCATCAACTCAGGGATAAAATTTGAATATGTTAAAAATAAATAAATAAATAAAAATCCACTTCTTCTCTTCTCCTGTTAGTCATCACTTCGATTAATCTGCAATAGCTCTTAGAATTTTGCTTATATATTTGTTTTACGTTTTCTTTCTCTCTTTTTTTTAGAGATAAAACAAGTAATTCAATTTATAAAAAAATATTTAAAAAATTACACAAATCTAAACCCTTATCAATGTTTTTTTTTTTTTTGAATATTAAAGAATTATGGAAGAATGAGAAATTTTTTTAAGTAATTAGTGAGAATCAAA